TTTGTCGGGGCTGCTGCTGCTGCTGCTGCTGCTGCTGCTGCTGCTTTAATCTCTTTAGTTATCTTCGAAAGTGGCGAGCTGATGGTTTGTTTAGTGCGCTGAGGTGTACGTACACATGGCGGGGCGGCTGCGGGCCTCGCCTCGCGAGCCCCCAGCAGCTGCTTCTGCTGGCCCCACACTGCAGCAGCAGCAGCAGCAGCAGCAGCAGCAATCAGCAGCTCGGGGGCCCCCGGGGCCCCCTGCCCTCCAAAAGGAGCGGCGAAGGGAAAGAAGGCGGAGGCGAGTTGGGGTGTATAGACAGGTCGTGGGTTTTGGTCTTTTGTTTTTTGAAGCTTTGTATCTTTTAAATATTTCCGAAACTCCAATTGATCTTTTTATTCTTTCCTTTTCTTTTTCTTTCTTTTCCAAAACCCCAAAGTGGGGTTTTTTCTCTTGCTGCAGTCTTCTTCGTTTTCTCGTTTCGTGTGTGTCTTGCTGGTGCCTCTTGAGCAGCTGCTGCTGCAGCTGCTGCTGCAGCAGCAGCAGCTGCTGCTGCTGCTGCTGCGCTGCTCCCGCAGCAGCAAAGGGGCAGCAGCAGCAGCTGCTGCTGCGCTGCTCCCTTGGCGGCAAACGAGCAGCAGCAGGTACTGCTGCTTCGCTGCCTCCCTGGCAGGAAAAGAGCAGCAGCTCTCGCTGCTGCTGCTGCGCTGCCTCTTCGGCAGCAAAAGAGCAGCAGCAGCAGCAGCTGCTGCTGCTGCGCCTTGAGCCTGTGCACTGCGAAGGGTCGCGCGTGCATGCATGAGCTCGTGGGTGTGGGGTTGGTGGTTCAGGTGTACGTACACCTCAGCTGCGGCTTGCGTCTTTGTTTCAGCAAAGCCCTCAAAGTAATCTTCACTTCTTTTTCTAGAATTAAATAAAACAGTCAGCGCCGCAACCTTTTTAAAACTCCCCACTGGACCAATGGTCCTCAGTGGTTCAATACGCTTTATGGATCTTCCTCCGCAGCCCTGCTGCCTTTTGCTGCTGCTGCGTCCGCTGCTGCTGCTGCTTCTGTTTGCCGCTGCTGCTGCCGCTGCTGCTGCTGCTGCGCC